CTTTTAAGTACCCACCATCAACTCAAGCTACCCAGCTGTTTAAGCTCTTCCTGTTATGCAACCGCTAAAGGCAATTTCTATCTCTAGATGAGTTCAGAGTTCTAAAACTGTCCCTTTGAATCTGAACAATTTAACACATCCCGCAGATTTAAAAGAGGCCCGACTGACCTAAAATGTTATATAGCCTTAACTTCAGTTTTTTTGGGAGACAAACACCAAAGCAAAGTACTCCACAATTTCAGAGACCTTTATATACAACAGCGATCCCTGTAGGTAGTTCTCTATCCCCTTTTAGGTTTCCTTTTGAATAAACTTTGCAAAAGAAACAACCCTGAAGGCATTATTTAGGCAAATCAGACATCTTTGCTGTCGATGTTCAAGTTTCATTAAATGACACCAAATCTAATAGTCGACAGACACTGATGTTAATATTAAACTATTAAAGGTTTAATTTGATTTTATTAAGTTATTCCTCACCATTAACCACAAAATTTTCTTATTAGGGAGTCAACACACACTACAGGAACCAATGTGTGCATTATGGGTCATTTACATTAACTTGTAAACACATCCCCTAAGCCCACGCTTCTATATCCATCTCCTTTCTCAAGTAAGCAGAAATAAAGTTAAAAAAACACTTAAGACTTTACAGGAGGCAAGTAGAACACCCTTCTTCCAGAAACGCTTGCTGAATACCCAACTGGAGGTGGGGAGAGCAGACACTTGCCACGCAAATAACACAAACACACTCAACATCTCAACAAAGAAAAGTGGGGGGCGGGGGAGAAGTGTCAAATGATGGTTAAAGAAACAAATACATCTTTCTGCCATTTCAGAAGGAAAAGATAAACGTAAAGATTCCTAAGCAAATTCAACTTTACATCAACTACCGACACCCCACCCCCAGGCTAAAATGTATACTCTTCATCAGCACAGGGCTTAGAGGGCGAAAGGGTAGGATGTGGGGAAACGGGACAATCAGAACCATCATCCTTCGGATC